TATGTGTGTGTGTGTGTGTGTGTGTGTGTGTGTGTGTGTGTGTGTGTGTGTGTATGTATATAAATTAAGAATAAGGTTTACAAATAAAGTTACAAAATATTATGAAGTATTTAAAATAACAGTTTTTAAACTAATAATTGAATATTAGATATATTTTATTATTTTAGCTAATTAAATTGAGAATCATAATATTTTAAAGTAGTATTTTGCAATTTATTATAATCAACCAATTTTCGCACCACTCGACGTGAGCCTACCTGCAAAGGACATTTGCAGCTTGGGCAAGGGGACGGCTCCACCCACTCGTAGGGCGAGAATCTTGCCACTATCCATATAGTTAAGGAAACCACCACGTAAGCGCCTAGCAAGGACAACCAGATCTCCACGGCGAGGGGATTCATGAACGAGAAGAGCCGCGGTGGCGTGCGTTTGGTTATCTGAAGCATTGACGTTTGTTGTTACTAATCTTCGAGAATTGACTTGATTGACCTGATTCAATATTGACGATGAGATTACGATGTAATCTCGTGAACGTAACGACGCAGCCCGTTGCATTCATGTCCACAATCATCATTGTCATGTTCCTTGCTGAAAAATAATTCAAAGGCGCGAGTCGCTTATAACTTCCGCGCCGCTTTCTTCCACAATATCCAGTCTCCCCAATGGCTCGAAAGACGATTTTTTATTTCGACGGAATTACGGGAGCGTATTATTCTCCGGCGCGTCGAGCAGAGCACAATGGCGGTGCACTCTGAGTGCAATTGCCGTACGTGCTGCTTTATTTTTTAACGAGAGATCGCTAACGCCATGAGAGGTAATCGAGATTGGATTGTAAGACGCACAATCCATTATCACGATAAAAGAGAAGCAAACAATAATACAATCTAACAATAATCTATTTTAAAAATTGAACCGTCTATAATCTGTTCACGAACAAAATATATTCTTTCTTGAATATGATCTTCTTTATTTCCGAAAGCGAAATGGAGAGTGCGGTATTCTTTATAAAAGATTTTACGATATTATCATTATTATCGTAACAATACTCCAAGATTCGCTCGATTGTTTTGCTCGCACAGCTTTAGTGAGCATCTCTGTAATATTGCAAATATATGATTCGCAACATAAACAGATATAAACGAATTGACGTGCGCCCCGCAAACAGACATCTACTGTTTGCACTCTGGCGAGATGGATTTATGTGCGTGCTGCTTCGTGAACGGGTTCCGTACATAGCGTTCCGTATAGCGGGCGCGCGGTGAACGTGAGAGAAACGGGCACGTTGGATGAGGGATGTCCCGATGGCGAACGGTGGCGGTCGGTGAGTGTACGCGAAGGAAAACGGCATAGAAGTAGTCCAATGGTGGAGCACCTCGTTGAGTGTACCTTAGGGTTGAGCCCGCTGCCCTGTCTGAGGAAGGTGCCAGTGATGAACCAGAAACTGTTGCTGACGGTAAACTGGTTCTCGACCACGTCGCTCTCGGCTAGACACGGATGCGGATTGTTCCACTCGTACGGGCTGAAGCGCGCCATCACGAAGAGGGTGAAGCTCACCAGCATGTAGGCGGCGAGCACGTAGAGCCAGATCTCGACCGCCAGCGGATTCATGAAGGAGAAAAGCCGTGTCGGCTGACTGGACGGCACCTAAATTACGTCACGCTACGATTTTAATTAAAACGGATCCCGTTTCGTGGTGCGACGCGATGCGACGCGGCGCGGCGTGCAGGCGCGGTGCAGCGCGACGCTGTGGGCCGACACGAGTCAACTTTCACGGCAATCCTGGACATTCAAAGGCCCTTTTCGCGAGTATACGTTGAAGAACGAGAATTCGTGAGATTCGCAATACAGATTATTTGACGAATTAATTTCTTTCTCTCATTTGATTAAACGAATTAAAATCGTGTTGAATAATACAAATCCATCTTGCGCATGTACTGATACTACTACAGAATAATTAAAGCATCTATTTACAGTCTTCATTATTCAGTAGGCTATAATGACGTGCTCATATGAAAATCACTTTTATTAATTTATGTTAATGCAATGCATAAACTGAAATGTAATCGAGAATTGAACATTAGAGGCATAAACACGTATACTTCGATGGAAGGGCAATAGATGATTATCACCATGTCGCATGCATATACAATTTTATAATAAAAAGAAATTATCGGCTGACGCACGGTGTGAACTCACCTTAAATAAAATTCCAATTCCGAGATTCATAAACGGCTTTGTGAAGTCTATTACACTTTCCCTAGCATAATTAATCGTCATGGAGGCAACCGCTAGATCCGCTCTCTGAAAGAATTACAGCATCCAAGATAATTAAGGAAATATTCAATTTCCTTGATTGAGTGAAGTTGAAGTCGAAGTTGCATAAAAACAGAGATGGTATTATAACGTCATGGTAACAGAGGAATTGATATTGCACAAAAAGCTTTCATTAAAAAAAGTATCTATCGTTTGTTTCGTGCAATGCTCTTTATTTTAGATGGACAAAAATAATTAATACATTTCGCGAAATATTTGCGCCAAGCAAATTTATGTTATAATACATAAGTGTATTGTGAATGAGAGCATCTAACATTACCGATAAATCTTCGTTCCGTGTTTACCTCGCGAAATAGTAGATGAATTCTTTATGAACGTATACGAGCGGTTGCGACTACGAAACATCATTCGTTTCATCTCTCGTTTAGAATATGTGCCTACGGTTTCGTAGGTTTTCAGGTTAAGGCGTCGTCCCTTTCAACAAGAGGCAGATTGCTTTGCATATTTTATAAACTGCACTGATCTTCGGTATTCAGAGAGTACGTTGAGATGACGAATGCGAATTTTGTGAGGTGCACACATTCTTCTATTTGCATCTCGTGTTTTAAATTAACGCGCGAATCGCGCGAACTTTTAATATGACAAGCATTAGTGATTTTTCCACGACTCATATTTTATTGATATTAATTTTCGAGAAAGCTTAAGTTATTTTCTCTTTCTCTGACTCTCGCTCCCTCTTTTCTTGTTATATGCTTTTAATTGTGATCTAAATAACACACAGTTGTCCAAAAATTTAAGAAAATACTTAATACATGAGAATGTATTTTTATTGCTATATACCATAAGTTTCCTTAATAAAACGTTACAGCAAAAGCAAAATACGTAGGTATATTTATCAAAGGCTAAGTGGTTTATGTATCACAACCAGTAAAATTAATCATAGAATATCAAAAGCTTTTAACAGTTGTGTAAATACGCAATGTCATATATGTACCGATATTATCAGGAACAAATGCTTGAATTATCTATCGATTGAAAGCAAAGCATTATCTCGGGTAGAGAAGGCGCGTTGCATAACATATATGTGTAAAATCAATTCAGCGAACCGCATATGCGCAGCAATCACACAATACAATACACGTATCAAATAATCATACGTACAAAAAGAAATGTGCGTTGGGAAACGGTTGAGCATTCGTGTTAGTTGTATCCATCTACTTCGTTCATGATTAAAATATTATTGCAAATATAAATTTTCATTTCACCGCTAATGGATTCTTCTTTTTTAATTTAATATCACGTTGTGCGTCTATAGATTAATGTTTGAATTGAACTATCGTTAAAGAATTGTTAGTATTTTCAAAATTGTAAAACCGGATCCAGATTTATTCTTATGCCAATAATATTTTTATACAGAAACTGTATGCGCGACTTTTTCACGAATAACGTACGATTTCATTTTTAAATGCGCATACGTCTATTTCTTTGTTTATTACGTTTTTGCATTTTTATCTTGTTTCAGTGTTGAACCTCAAATCCTATAGAGACTCTCTTTTTTTTTTAAATTTCCGCTTCCTGAGGTATTAACGTTTATTGGTAATGTTTTCCGTTTTTCGTTGAAAATTCGTTCGTGTATCAGCGTGTGTTCTTTCCCTGCTAATATCGGCTACGTAGCCATACGATCGCGAAGAAACAGGAAACAGTGCGAATGGAGAACTACTTCTCCCCAGTAACGAAAAGGCAATATTTACCTTTCTCTGGATATATACAAAGCGCAGAAAAGTCAGAATTATACAATATAAAGAAAAATTGTTGACGTTAAAAAACATAGAGATTTTTTATTCAATTTTTTTTTATTTTAATTGTTAATAGATATTTTTGTTTTTTAATTGTTAAAAGAGTAAGGTAAAAATGAAGAATAAAAAATTAAAACAGCAGAAAAAATAATTAAAATATTGTCTAGTAATTATATTTCTATTATACATGTACAGTGATTAAAAAATGAGAATTCCGCAAATTTTGATGTATTAAAATGAGTTTTCTGAAACAAATATTAATAAATTTTCATCACGTAATTAATTAAATACTAAAGTAAAGTTAATAACATTTTATATAAGTACAAATACGTTTGTATGCTTTGTACTGAGAATTCAGTTGCATCACTGGCGTTTTACCTTCATTCCCATTCATTGTCCCAACGGAATAAAAACTTGGAATAAAGTTTTATTATATAATACATGTAAAACATTTCTATTAACTTAAATATTTTCTGACTAAAAATGAAGCGAATAGCTATTGAAATACTGACGCATTGTTAATTTGATCATTCACATCGCGAGTTTTAATTTAATAACTGTGATATTGCAACAATTAATTAAGTTTCAATTTGTTGTAGAAATTATGCGAACATTGCGTGTGCGCCTGCTCGATCATGCAGACAATAATGGATCGGCGGCACAGATTAAATTCGAAAGACGCTCGGAAGTGCATATATTAAAGTTTGATTTTAATAACTGCACAATTTTACAATTCAAATGGCAGGGAGCAACATCTGCGAGCTGATCTATGAATCGAAATATCAAATACCGTCGTTTGGCCATGGGAAAAATAGTTAATCCAGGTAATTCTTGTATCCGACTACAGGCGTAATGAAATTCCTCGCGGGATGGATTTATTGCGACACGCCCGTGGAAATTTACTTTGCTTTGCATATAAAATCGGCCTCTTGGGGTCGTGTGTATCCATTTTCCTACCTCGATACTTCTCCTAATATACCATGCTTCCGTAATTTTAACAGCACTATTAACACATTACAGTCTAAATTAATTTTGGTAAATGAAATAATATTGATATTTGGTATTATTTTTATATTCTCGCTAACGCAATTGTCGATGTTATTTAAAATATTTTAAACAATTTGAAAAATAAAATTTACCGATTATATAATTATTTGTTGTTTTTAAAGTTTAAAATCTCACGAAAAATTGCAATAAACTGTATCAGATCCACAGTGGTATAGAAATACAGATTTAATTAATCACATATATCCCAATTTCATCTCGCAACGTTCATCGAATCTTTTTTCCGATTCGCACATCATTCGTCGAATGTTTTTCTGATTTGCACAATGCAACATTTGAAAACTTTACCTCGGTGCACATTAACGCCAAAGTTAGTTACTTCATTTGTTGGCTTGTAATGTTTATTTCATTTTTTACGACATTGAATCACGTCGCGAGTTATCGCGAGAAAGGGAAACAGGCTCTACGTATTCTGTCTTACCTTGTCCTTGAGTTCGCGCACGATTCCGTTCCATTCTTTCGTCTCGGGATCGTACACCCCGTACATGTGATCGGGCACCAATTTGATTGCGTATTGGAAACCGACTTGGCCGGCGATCCACTTGAGCAAATCGATGCAGAAGCCCTCGAACCTCGCGTTACCAGTCAAATTCTTGTCTTCTTTTACCATGACGTAGGGTCTTTCCTGTGGAAGATTGGATCCCACTGATAGATCGTAGAATTGTTCTCATCGTGACAGGGGTAGGGCAAAGGCAAATCCTTAAAAATTCTTATTTCCGCGCGAGATGGTTATATCAAAGGAAAAGGGTGGGAAAGAAGCCGCCGTTGAATGCGAATTTATAGCACTTTGATCGCTTGTCCCTCAAACATTTCCTTTTCGCGACGCTACCATGAATTTTTCATTTTTTCTAAGAATACACACAATAACGCCGATGAAACGTTTTCTCGTTTTCCAACTAAGATTTTTTTCTTAATTTTTCCTTGACAATCCGCAGTTTTGCTGTTTTCTCTACTTAAAATCCTCTAAATTCTCTAAATCTGAACTTTTTGATCCTTATGAAAACACGATAAAATAGTACTAAATCAAATTACAAATTTGTGCATGTAACACATTATAAAGATAGAAACAATCGAGAGCCCTCTAGTATCTGTTATTTATTGCATATTATTTTAGGCTCAATTTAATATGAAATTATCTAACATATCTTATGACTCGTAGATCCCTAGATATTATTTATAAATACGTTGAAGTTATTGAAGGAAACCTCTCCAAATATGTTGAAGTTGCTATTTGGCTTAAATGTGTGGAGACTTTGTCTCTACGCGGCATAACAAACTTATCCGACTCCATTTAGAGCAGCTTTCATATCACCATGTCATCCATACTCGTGCAATGTCCTGCTTAATGATTAATCCTAACGCTACGAGGTCGCAAACGTGACAAAATTGGATACAAGGTATCATTACCTCTCTCGTCATCACCACGAGCGTAATGTTGGTCGTCGTGGTCTCGTAAAAGGCGTCTAGATCCGTGACGTTGATGCCAGACCCGGATTTCCATTCGCCGACTTTAACGAGCTCCTCTTTTTTCAGTTTCAAGAGGTCCAGCTTGAAATTGTTTCTCTTCCCTTCATTGAATTCAATATGTCCGGTTAATCCTTGTAAGCCTGCCTGCAACAGAAAAGCTCGTATAAGTCTAAATCCATGTCGATTAGATTTATCCATTATCCTTTGCGATAATTATATAATAAATAAATGGAGAAACATGTCCTTCATTTTACGTATTACAAATTTTGCTACATTTAATTATATTGATGTTGCGCGAGTAAAATTCAAGCTTCTATAAAGCAAGAACGTAGTTAATGTAGATCGGAAGAGC